CGTTAAACTCGGAATCCTAGAGTTTTTCGAGACGAGAAAAACGATTCTGGCATTGGTTTTCCAGAAAAGTCAGTCTTTTTCAAAATGGCGGCCTAGAGCGGGAAGTGGATATTTAGGCTGCTTATCGTTGGATTTGTATGAAACTTGGTATCCGGGGGTATTTCGGCACGAGAAGAACGAATCTTCATTGGATATCTGAAATTCCGACAAATTTCAAAATGGCGGCGGAAAAATGGCGGGAAATCAGTTTTACTGCTGTTTACCGATGGATTTGAATGAAATTCGATATCGATCATTCAGTATTTCAAGAATCTAATGAAAGATTCTTTTTTATCGAGCCAATGAAATTTATCGGAATTTCAGATATCCAATGAAAGATTCGTTCTTTTCGTGCCGAAAAACCCCCGGATACCTAGTTTCATACAAATCCAACGATAAGCAGCCTTAATATCCACTTCCCGCTCTAGGCCGCCATTGTGACCGCCGCCATTTTGAAAAAGACTGACTTTTCTGGAAAACCAATGCCAGAATCGTTTTTCTCGTCTCGTAAACACTAGGATTCCGAGTATAACGCCAATCCGTCAATACACAACGGAGATGTCAGATTTCCGCCATTTTGAACTTTGACCGGCCGCCATTTTGTCAAAACTCAACATTTTGACCTGCGGTTTCCGCCCAAAATTTGATTTTTTTTATTATCATTCGAATGAGGTATCACAAAGAGGGGGTCGTCATTTGAAAAAAAAAAAGTTAGCCCCCGCCCTCCTTAGGGGGGCCGCCCCTCAAAATGTTGGGGGGACCGACATGTTGCTACTTCAGACCGAGGAACATTGCCAAAGTTTCAAACTTCTATCTCAATTAGAAAAACAGTTACAGGGGTGGTCAGTGACTTTTGAATAACCCTGTATATGTATAGCTGTGCATGGAGTCCAATATCATGGACGCGATGCTACATTACCTTTTAGAAACAACACACGATTTTGTTTCTCTATTCATGCAGGTGCATAGTCATGCAGAAATAGTAGATCCCTACAGCACTTTTTCAGCTATTTTACATCCATGTAAATGGGTAGAGCCAAGTGTTGCCAGATGTCAACCTCTAGACACTGCACACTGCAGAGTGCACACTGGCGCACAGTAATGCAAGTCGATTAGTGAGATCGGACATGATGTGGAAACTTTAAGCTAAAGAGGACTACTTTTTTCAATAGGGAGGCACTATTTTTGGCTCATTCATAAAACACCTATCTGCATGAAGAATCAAATGGTACCATGTTTCTCAATTGGGTTAAAAATATGATGGCTACTTTTTGCTTCAAACATGAATGTATGAAAAACAATGAGAACTCATGAAAAAAAAAATGCATCGGATTTCTCGTGAAATTACAGCTGTAAATACTACACTTCAGACTTGAAAATGGAACGGAAGAAAAACATCAAGTTTTGCAGTTTCAACCAAAATTTTATGTTCGGTCTCTTCCCACAACTTGTCTCAGTGCGCGGTATTTTCCAGAGCACAGGGGCATGAGATGAGATTACGGGCTCGAATGAGGTTGGAACAATGAGGATTGGCGTGGGTGAGCGGCTGGAACCCGGGCACCGGGCGATTGGGCGCCGTAAACAGGACAGGGTGTGCTGGAACAAAGTATCCACCTTGAAAACCCATTGAAAGAATTCTAGTATCGAAAAACGCCGAAGCACGTGCTCAATATTTTTAAGGGGGACATTTTTTCCGCACATTTGCATTTATGGGCCCCCTTGGAGGATTCGGATTCGTTCCAAAGATACTCAAGGTGAATATTATCTTTCGGCACACCCTGTAAATCGGAAAAGGCCAATTATTCATGCTCGAAGCACGAGACCGGCTGAATATGATCCACTGGATCTTGATAAATAAATTTATTCTACCCACAATCAGTGTCAGCACCCTTTCGATGGGCTTTCGAGAGGAGTTAAGTTAATCCGTTTCACCGATTTCAAAACAATCATTTAAGAGACTCTTTGTTCTTATACAGTTGACATATCACTGGACGTCCAAGTGAAGGGGGGGGGGAATCATCCACTGCAGGAAAACTGTGCCACTTTTTGATTGGTCTACGAGTTTTTAGGCGCATGATGCCGTTACAGCCTTAAATAAACAAACAAGATGGCGATTCACGGTATCATGGATAAGAGGGACAAATTGAGGAGCTTTCCGGAAAAAGGGCACATGGCAAAAAATTGCGTTTGAGAGAAATGCATGGGAAGTTTTGATGATTACTATATGGCCATTGACAGTCACTTTCGTTCGAAAGCAGGAGTCCAAGCTGCGATGAAAGGTACCATCAGTGGCCAGAAATTAATGATGGAAACTTAAAATACATGTTTCTCAAACGCTATTTTTTGTTATGTGCCCTTTTCCCGGAAAGCTCCTCAATTATAGACAAAAATTTTGATTGTACGGACATGCATTACAATTTATTTTTCATTTTTTTCTCTCGATTTTATTCATTTTTCGCGGCACGATTGTTTCTTCAGTAGCAATTTGTGACAAGCGTCTTTAAATTTGAACGTTGCAACTTTTTGTAACAGTGGTTGAACCAACAAAGCACAAAAACTTTTCATTAATTTTTGAGGAAATTCATTTGAACTTGATATGTGGGAGAAAACGTTTTGCACTTTTTTCGATACAAATTAAAACATTTTCAAAAACCGGTGGTTTCTTTCAGTTTTTGAAAAAAATTAATTTGAATCGACAAAAGTGTCCACAGTGCCGAAAAGAGTTAGAAAAATTAAGCAGTATGCTACAACGTAGTGAAAACGTTTGGATTATATTGAGTGAGTAAGGAAACTTTACATAAAACAATAAATTTTTCTTTTGGGTGGTCGAAGTGTCATCCTCCTTCAAGATAGGAGCGTGGTCTTCCGCATGTCATTGTCCAATAAGTCAGCAGCCCGACCACAGACTTTGACTTCCATCGATATTGATAGAACTCAGTTCCATTCCAATGGGGTATTCCATTGGAATGGAACTGAGTTCTATCAATATCGATGGAAGTCAAAAGTCTTTGGTCAGGTTGCAGGTGAGAAATTTAAAATTTAGAAAAACTCGAGTACCCACGAAAATCACCTGGGAGACACTGTGAAAATTGATAATAGCCTTCATCACAAGATTACATGAGATGTGTTTAACCTCAAACTCGCATGCTCGCAACAGCCATCTTGTTTGTTTACTTACGGACGTAAGAACATCGGATCAGCCTTTTTTCTCGCGACCAATGAAAAACCGGCACAGAAATGGCTATAATCTGTTTATAAATGTATTTTATATACTATAGGCGCAGGCGATAGGAAATCTACATGTTTGGAGGTGCCACGGTAGGGGAGGAATGTCCTCAGCAAAATGGGGTCGGAGCGTCCGTTTAGGATGCGATTTTGAAGGGAAGAATCACTTTAATGGCAGGCACTAGGCAACAGTGCACCAAGACAAAAAATAACACCGAAGTTCGGTTGACATGTGTAAAGTGGAACACAAAGTAACCCAAACCTTCTGTTGACTCTAAGATTTACATTATTTTCTTTGCTAAATTAAATGCAAACTGTGCCGGAATTAACAACTTGGATTCGTCTGTGTTTCATTTCCTATTACAAGTAACGAAATACCTATCCAATGAAAATACAAAGGTATTATCTCTGTGATAACTGATGTTCCCAAGAAAAAACATACCTAGGCATCCCTAGTAGCAACTAGCAATGGCGCGTAAAAAAATTCTACAAAAAGTTGTCAAAACAATGTAGAAAACTTGTAAATTTTAAGAAAAAAACTTTTAAATTCTCGTTTTAAGAAACCATATTGGGGAATTCTTTTAAATAAAAAAGGAGAGTTACTTTAATTAAAAGAAAACGTAACATTAACGTAAAAATTAACAAACTATACCTATCCTCAATTTTTATGGCCTGCAACTTTTCCTTTTATATTTTTCTGTTCACCACTTTTTCCCCTCGTTTTTGCCCGCAGGAAGTTTATAAAAAAAAAAAAAAAAAAAAAAAAAAAAAATATGTAAAAAATTTTACTTAAAATTTAATTAAAACAATTTGCTTAAACTTTTTCTTCAAGTATATATAAAAAAAGCCCCAAAACGGGTTTCCGGGTACGAATCTTTCAAGGGTTTTTACGTAATTATCAAGTGGTTTTGAAGTAAATTATAAGTTCTCTGAAAATTTACGAGTTTATTTTACAACTTTTCTCAACAGCCACTGCTACTAGGGATTCAGTCTTTCGGTGTGGCCAGAAATTTTTCATAGTAGGGGAGGGGGTCAGTGGGTCAAAAATTGCTCATGGTAGGGCGGTCCAATTCCTGACAATTCCGAAAGACGACGTTTTTTTGGGAAGTTTTTCAGTCAAGTGGGGAATGCTCAGACCTCAGGGACGCACCAATGAATTTTAGTCTCCAAAGTTTTTAACTCTGAGAGAATCCGTTCGGCGCGTTTGCAGTTTTAAGGCTTTACGGTGTGAGAAGTTTTTTGTTGTTAAATTTTTGCACTTCGTTTCAGAATTTTTTTTCTGCCTGCTCACTATATGTATCACACCAAAAGCCATACTTACATAGTTTCTTATACAGTTCCGATACCGACAGGTACTCAATTTTTCCTTCGAGGTGCCCAAGAACCCTCATCTCCTTTATTTCCAGCAAAAATGTTGTTGGAATGACCTCAGTTTGTTTGACAATATCTTGAGTTTCCTAATTGTCTCATTGCTTTTATGTTTTCATTTGCTATTTTTGAATATTAAAAATCGAGCGACATTTCGCTTTGAAATGGTATGGATATTTTCTTTACATTCAAGGAAAATCCATACCTACTACACATTTTTACGTCGGTGTCATATATAGTGTAAGAGAAGAGGAAGGGAGGAGGAGGAAACGAGGCAACATTTCATCGAGTTAGGGTGATTTTGGTTCGATCAGGCATTTACGAATAACCCTAGAAAAGGGAAAGAGGGTTGAAAGAGGGAAACTTACCCTGCTTATTGTGTAGTGATAATCCGTTTGCCAAACTGATGATACACACGAGGGCACAATGCACTATCATATTAACAACCGTAGTAGGAACTATGAACACAGACACTAGGATATTAAACACATGAAACACACATGAGGAAATTCTCAGAGAATCGCGCACTTTCACTCGCGGAACGCGCGTTTTTTCTTAACGCGGATGACTCGACCCGGAGTTTTCCGGCGGCGCACCAGGGACAGCCCCATTGCCCGGCAGGGTTCTCACTCGTTCGACGGGGATACGGCTATCGCGGGGATTTTTTATTAGGTTACGGGCAACATGTGAAAATTCCCAGAGCGGGATATAGACTGGGCAACTCGCAGTTCGGGGGTGGTTTCGAGGGGATGACAGGATGACGAAAGAATTCACACGTGTGATGAGGACGCGATGCAAACCGGCATCGGAGGACCAACAAGTTAACTGGAGGGTGATGACGCGATCTCCTGGGCTCCAGGAATCCACTCACCGCGAGACGAGAGGAGTCCTCTGGCTCCCGATTCCCGTACCGGAGGCTGCGATTAGTGCGCTCTCTGGCGGACACCGACGAAACCAAGGCGGCTATTCACCGATCGCTGTCTTGCCGCGCGCCGCGCCGCGCCGCGCCGCGCGTTTGAATGAAGTAAAGAACCGATGTAGGGAGAGAATTGCCATGCCTGTGCCGCTCTCTGATTGGTTCATCAGTTGTAGGCTTCCCTCAGGGCTTGGTGACCCAATGGTAATAGGGATCTAGAAGCTTAGTGGGTACTCGATACCCCCTTCTCACGGCAGAGAACAATAGAATCTCCCAGCCATGCAGCCAACGAGTGTCTCGGATTGTGGCCTAGGGGCGATTTTGTTTCAGCATTACACGAGAGTGATGACATCAAAGTGGTGTTGTTGATGCATGGTCCCGCCTACCGTCATGCTCACAGGGAGCTCTAGCAGTCGTGAACATTACATACCGGCGGGAAATATGAAATATACTTTATAAAATAGAAATTATGAGTTGAAAACTTCTCAGAAGAAGATGGAATGAGTATTGCGGGAAAATTCTTTTCAATAAAGAATATTGCATCCATAAAATATCTTACAAAGTATGAAAACTATAATTTAAAACCTTATTAAAAATCACCACAGGCACTCTAATTTTTATGCCTAATTAGTGAGTTTTATCAATGAAAATATTATAAACATTACTGTAGTAAAATTTATCGTAAAAAACAAGTACAAATACCAATTTTTAGGTAATTAGGAAATGATACAGCACAATCGCCGCGTGAGAAAATGTTAGTACGTTTTTTATGGAGTATTCATTATTTTCAATTGGTCTAAAACGTTAGATGCAATCACTAAAGAGGTGATCTCCCCGGCGGGATTGGAGCCCCTGCCTCAATGTTTAGTTTTATTGCCATCTGACAAGCGGTGATCTAGACGACTCAGCCACCACGGCAAATCTTTTCATCACTGCCCGGAAAACTGTCTTTCGCTCAGGTAACTTTACCGGAGAACATTTCTATCGCAAAATTGGCCGTGAGATGACCATTATGAAAAAAGAAATAAGGAAGGTGGCTAAAATCACGCAAAACGAACGATGATCAAAACTGCGCAGAAATAAATTGCATTGATAATGTTAGTGAAACATGGCTACAAACCGGCGCGGCACGTCGAGTAAATACGGAGCACATAAGTTGTTTTAAAACTTCAAAAAATTGAAAGAGACGCTGGATGTTGGAACAATTTTAAAAGAAAAACAAACAACTCGTGAGTATTTATACGTCATAAACACCAAACTTCTCTAGTAAGACAGGATCCAGTGGGATTAGAGAAGGGAATAAAAAAGAAAATACAAGGTTTGGTACTATTCTTCATGTGTTTTGCGCGGTTAATGTGCTACTTTGTGAGGTTGCGAATTGCAATGCAATTTTCATTGGTAGACGACAGCATGATAAAATGCCTTCATTCGTCGTGGATGCAACAGAGTATACAAGGTACCATCCGATACATCACTGCGTTGTGCAACAGTGCCGCGGTGCCACGACCTCACGACCAACGTTCGTCGTCCAGCCGCTCCATAAATATGTCCTACAAAACACGGATGTACGATTTACAGATACCGCTTCCTTTACGTCTAGCGGTATTAGAGTCCCTGGAAGAGATTTCAAAGAGATGAGCTAGAAATACCTTTGTAATTTTTTTTTTTTTTTTTTTTTTTTTTTTTTTTTTTTTTTTTTTTTTTTTTTNNNTAGAGTGTGCAGCCAGCCCTATTTCCTACAAATACTCTTCATGCTTCAATGGAGTTTATGCCGTATCTTAGGACTTTCGTATGTCATCTTTGTATTTATCGCAGTTTAAAGACAGATACACATGTCATTGTTGAATGAAATGAGTTATATACAGCGCAATCACAGCGATCACGAGACGGTTTCCTTCCAAATTCCAAAAAATTAAAATTCAGCAACATGTATTCCATGTAAATTAAAAATTCATATAATGCTGAAATGGCTTTTTAATATAAACGTCTTTCACTGTATTTGCTTTTTTCCCCCCTTGGTCATCATATCCTTTTGTCCTATTTCTTAGATTTTAAAAAAATGCTTGTCTTCAAATGTTCGATTAAAGTCTCATTTTTTAAAAGTTCTTCTATTATTTATCACACAATTAAATTTGATTTAAAATTGAATTTTTATTCGTGTATTTTGTTCTACTTCAATTTAAAAAGAAAAAAATACCATCGAAAATTGTAATGCAGTAGCGTGCCCATGGGTACGTTACTGCGACACTATTGTATTCTACCCAAATATTAGAGGGTTTTTGGGCTTTACTCTACGACTTAAGTAGCAGGAGAGCTAAATGGACCGCAAACCGTGCAGAAAAGCCCGATCGATTTTCTTCGTGTATAACTAGTTAGGCAGCAGCCACCCGTCTTTTTTTTTAAGGTCGTCAATTTTTAGGGGGAATTTTTTAGGATTGGGCCGTGGTGGCTACCGCCACCTAGAATTGCACTTACCAACTTGTTTATTTTTATTTCTAAGATTGTGGGTTGACGGAAGAGCCAATAAAGGGTACAGAAGAAAAAAAAAATATTTCACCATTTAGAATGTAGCAATGAGTAAAAATATTAGGTGTTTACAATTAGCGCGGGGTTGAACATGTGTATACTTCGTGCGAATGATTTCACTATCATGGCCCACTCAGTGAATGCGCTACAGACATTGGATCTATTGGAGTGCTCCGCACATGAAATCTTAGTGCTTAGGATAATTTTAGTCTCTAGGAAAAATTCGAAAATCCACTCGGAATCTCTATTTAACTTCCTAAAGTAATTTGGGAGAATGATTGATTTTACAAAAAAAAAAACAAAAAAAGAAAAAAAACAAAAACTCATTAGATACCTACTATTTGATTTGACCTATTTAAAGGATGACGTTGTAGTGTGGCAAATCAAAGGCGTATGAGTTCATACAGTGTTTCGTCTCTCTTGATTTATTCATGATTTTCAAACATTTTATTCAATTGGCGCTCGTATTCTTATTCCTAGAATCTGAGATTCTCTCGTTATTACAACTTTGGAGCGGAAGATGACGTCAGCATGAGTATGATAATGCCAAAACTTACATATACTTTCTTCTTCTCCTTATTTAAAGCATGGCTATTTTCTTTATATTTGCAAATATGCGGCATTAGCCTCCCGTTTAGCTAAATAAAAGAAATCTTTACTCGTATTTATAGCTCCGCAAAAATATTGTGCTCTGCTAAAGAGAAATCTGCACAATAAGTGTTGCGAATAAACACATTTTGAAAAAGGTCTTGCATTGGTTCGGAGTTTCGAGGCAAATAACTGGAAGTCTATATAATGAGGTTGAACTCTTGCTGCGGGTTTTCGCAGAAGTTTTCGTTGAGGATCATGAAGGGCCATCTTTTGAGAGATACGTGGTCCAAATCCCCTTTAAGGAGGCTGAGTAGATCATTGGCGAATCGGAGGTCTTTCAGATCTTGGTGCAAACTTTTCATGTCCTCCATCAGCGACTCCACATTTTTCTCAATCAACTGCTGAAAAAAACGAGTAGTTTTAAAAAAAAAATTAGATTGTCTCGTTGATGAAAAAAGGAGCCTTAGTCTACGGGAGCAAATTTGTAGAGGAGTGATTATTATTGAGTTGTATCGAAAAATTGGATTTTGAAGGGTTCAACCGAAAACCCTATTAATTGTCCTGAGGAATAAGTTGCGAGTGGTTAAGTGCATTTTTATCCCAACGCAAGGCTTAAATACGCGGCATTTTACTTCGGTAACTTTGCGCCTTGAACATAGATTAGAATCTTAAATAGCTCCTCTCGAAAGTAAGTTCTTAAACTCCTAACTTCGAAACTTCCATAACTCCGGTCTATGACATATTTCGGCACTCTTCGTCCCAAAATTTTCTGAAAACATTTTCCCATGCTTTGACATCTCTGCTCAATTTTGAAAATGATTAGGTAGACCAAGCTCCATTTTCCCATGGACGGTAGCAAAATGCACTGAATTGAGCAAAAAAGAATTACAAAATTGGGGATTCCTGTTATGTATGGTGTCTCTCCACATAGTGTAGCACAAAAAGTCAATGTATATGTCGCAGGCAATTAGCAATCGCCGGCAATTTGCAAGCGATTCACATATGTTGTTTCAATAAATTGCAATAATGCGCATCGGCATAATACAATTTTTATGGGTTATGGTCTTCAAGAGTATGAGCTCGGCTTGAAGCGACTTCATTTTTTGTGATACTCTACGTTTTGTCTGGATGTTAGTTTAGTTGCCTGTCCGATCTCAACCCGATTAATTTGACGGAGTTCAAAGCACGCTCCTCTGAATGTGCATATTTCTGCCATGTTTTCAAGGATAAAAAAGTGTCTTTTCACATTATAGGCATCATAATAAGCACTCTAATCTTGTTCTTTTATTTTTGAATTATATGGTTTTTTATATTTATTCACCATTGGCTTGCAAATTGCCGGCGATTGCTAATTGCCTGCTACATATACAAAAATCAAGAGCGGTCCATATTAGTACAGTGCCCTATGAGTATTTGACTCAACTCATTGCATGATATTATAGCAAACTCCGAACTCCAAGACAATACCAACAAATTGACGGCGAAACAGCAGAAATAAAAATGCTCGTCTCAATTATAGGCGTTGCTGACTTCCTTTCATATTTAATTTTATGTTTTGACTACTTCAGTGATTTTTCTTCTCTATGGAAAGAATATTCCGTGAAAACTTCAGGCAATGATGTAGGTCTCATAGGGTCTCAACTTGCAAGTATGTACATACATCCGGTTTGGCTGATGATATCCATGGAGGTATATCTATCCCTAAGGTAGCGTAGAAAAAAAAGAATGATCATATTTTCCCATGGAAAATTCCGAAAAAATTTGGATTTTTTTATATTTTGCACAATCAACTACTTCAATGCAGGAATGATTTTTGCACAAAGAAGCTATTTTGTGTCCATCCGGATTGACTGGGGACATCCACGAAAGTACATCATCGAAACATGAAGAAAATTATATTTCAACGCGGTAAGTACTGAAAAATGTTCGATTCTTTTCACGGTCATAAAAGCATCAACTACAGAAAAGGAATGATTTTTTCGCGGGAAAACCATCGCGAGTTTAACTGGTTTGGCTGCTGATATCCATGAATGCATATCCTCAAAACATGGAGAAATCGAAGTAATCGCATTTCACCGAGGGAAATTCCGAAAAAATTCTTTATTTTCTATACGGTCATAAAATAATGAGCCACATCGCGGAAATAATTTATCATTCGGGAAAACCATTGCTTGCCCATTCGGTTTCGCTCCTGAAATCCATGTGATAACACCCTCGAAACAAAGAATCTTATAGCGATACATGCATGAAAGTACTCTTTCAGCGGGCTGATTTTTGAAATTGATAGACAAAACAATATGCAAAGAAGACACAGTATGAATGGAATGATGCTATGGGCCTGTTGCAAACTTTTGCTAGAGCAAAAATAGAAGTTGTTACTCTTAGAAAGTGTCTCAAAAATCACGATGAGCGCATCGGTAGTGTCTGAAATTCACTCCTTACTTCACAATTTGCATTTTAAACGAGTTTCCCGCTTCAAAAACGGTACCATGGCACAGGTGAACATTTCGTAAGAGGAGTCATTCCATCCAACCCCTCCTTACAAGGATACTACGCAATATTCAACATAGCCGACGCCAATCCGCCAAAACACATGCGTCAGGACGATGATAATAACCACCTGATAACCCTCGGCGTGATTGCATTAACATTTCTCTCGCGTTGATAGATATCCGCCTTGATTGACCTCGTGCTCTCCTCAACTTGCGCGCGGAAGCGTCGGCCATGTTGAGCAGGGGTTGAAAGGAATGAACTCCTCTAACGAAATGTTCACCTGTGCCATAGTATCCTTTTTTGAAGCGGGAAGCTTAAAAAAACGTAAATTTCTTACGTAGATTGTGAAGTTAGGCGTGCATTTCAGAGTTTGACGATGCGCTTATCGTGATTTTTGAGACATTATCTATGAGGAACAATTCTTATTTTTGCTCTAGCAGAAGTTTGCAACAGGCCCATTCTGCCGTGCTAAGGAAGAACGCTGTATGAGCCTTCAGACGTTGCCTTATTTTCTTCAATTAAAATATAATTTACTAGGAAAATCGTGAATATCTTCCCTCAATTTTTTTTAGACGATTTTGCTCGCAATTTTATATGAAACCCCTGAAACTCTCAAAGAAAAATACGCATTCTATTATCTTCAAATATACATGCACTGTTAAAAATCGTTGATTCCGTCCGACGGAAAATCCGGAGTGAGAATGAACACGGGAGTGCGGTTCAGCGCGTAGGTGCTGAGACGGGCTGCATGTGTAGTCAAAGCACTCCGCACCGGAGCTGCAGTACGGCCCGGAGTTACGCGCACCTTCTCTCCCTCGCACTAGCGCTGTATCGTCACCTTCCAGGCAAAGTATCACAAGCGCCATGCGACGTTTAAAAATTTCCGCCGCCATTTTATTTCTTTACTGAGAAATTGTTGGTTGAATCTGTTTGGAAATTTCACTAAATTTTATCGGCAGCACAAAGAAAATTCAGTGAAATTTTCGGACAGCTTCGTTGAACAATTTCTCTGTAAAAAAATAAAATGGCGGCGGAAATTTTTAAACGTCGCATGGCGCTTGTGATACTTTGCCTGGA